CGCTGGAATGTTTGTGCGGCGTTGCGGAGACCAAACGGCATTCGAAGAAATTCGAAAAGACCAAAAGGGGTGATCACTGCCGTTTTAGGAATATCATCTAGGTGAACTGGAATCTGATGATAGGCTCTGGTTAAGTCCAGTTTACTGAATACCGTGGCACCCTTGAGCGACGACGTAAGGTCATGTATATGTGGTACGGGGTAGCGATCTGGCATGGTCTGTGCGTTAAGCCTGCGGTAATCACCACAAGGCCTCCAATCTATCCCGTTATTCTTTGGAACCATATGTAAAGGGGAAGACCACGGGCTGCTGGAAGGACGGATTATCCCCATATCTAACATATGTTCGAATTCAGCCTTCACGGCTTGTAGTTTTTCTAGGGACAATCGCCGTGGCTTAGCGAAGACCGGTGGACCAGTGGTCACGATATGATGAGTGACAGTAGACGTCACACAAGGAAGTTTAGAAACCGGTTTGAACAGGTTGGCAAAGTATTGAAGAACTTCAGCGTAAGGGCCGTTAGAGGCAGGGGTTGAATATACGGGGCTTAATGCAGGTGTGTGTGTCACAACACCGGAGATCGAAAGGTTTGTAGCTGAATCGATCAGTTTGTGTTTGCCAGTATCAACCAGTAGCTGTTGCATGAGATCCATGCCAATAATACCGGTAGTTACATCTGTTACAAGGAAAACCCAGCGAAATGACCTACGTAGGCCTATGTTAAGATCCAGGAACCTTTTGCCGTACGTTGTGATTGGCGAACCGTTTGCGGCGCGAAGCTGTAAGGAAAGTGGCCGCTTGCGCTCTTCAGATGTTGGTGGAATCACGCTAACTTCCGCCCCAGTGTCTACCAGGAAGCGTGTCCCAGTGTTACGGTCGGTAACATAGAAGAGGCGACATGGAAGTGGTTCGCCAGCGACGTTAGTCGCCAATACGTGCTGGCTTACTGGTTTCCCGATTGCTGGCCATCAAAGGTGCACGGGCGAGTGCACTTTTGGGCCTTGTCACCATAACGCCGGTGATACCAGCACACTCCAGGTTGGGAATTTTGAGGCCTACGACGTCTGCTGCCAGCTCGTGAAGATCTACCACGAGTCGACCTGGTGCGGCTATTCGAACGACCTCTAGGTGTCATCTCCTGTCTTAACTTATCTATCTCTTCATAAAGCTTAGCTATGTAGGCCACCACATCTAATTTTGATGACCCTTCGGTAGAGGAGTCCTTCGTCTGAGTGGGACTTACGGTTACGGCCATCCCGCGAACAAGACGATATATAAATAGAATGATAACAACAAATATGATAACAAAAAAATACGAGTAAAAACAAGGCAAGTAAAATTTTGTAACTCTGTGTGACAAACAAATTGCCAATATGAAAAAGGACTATTTACACTTTAGGCTACTTAGTAGGCAAACGGTGAAAACTCGGGCTCACCACTTGTAAGAGTTATACTTAGGATTTACTTCGACCTAACAATAACCGCTCTTACAAAACTTCTTCACCGTTTATGACCTTAATAGTACTCTGCCTACGTGCAAGTACTAAAGAACGGAATCAAAGTTAAAAGACTTGAAATGGCAAGTGTAACTGGACCGGAATTGTATTTACACAAAGAGATATGGAATTTGATAAGAAATAAAAAAGTACACACTTATCTGGAGGTGAGACGGTGGTCAGCTCGGAGAGTGTACTAGGTGAAAGTACAGTGAGAGAGCGAAACCAAAACCGCACAGGAGGTTCAGGAATACAAAGTGGAAGTGGAGTTAAAGGTCAGGTTGCGTTCATTCCAACAAAAGTTCAAAGGTACAATGTACACTACAGATTCACGGCTATTAAAGATTCCTTAGGAAAATTAAAATGTAGATATCAAACCCCTTTTTCCCGATAAGTAGTTTAAACGAGACATTTTCAGTTGTCGACTTAACGTTTTGTTCCTTATTATTGCGGATATTAGTTACGAATCATAGCGAATTAAACTAAATTTCTCAGTGTACTCCGATAACGACGGCACAAACAACAAGTTCAGTCGTTCAACTCACCGTTAAGCATTAATTATAGCGAAATATTCATTCAGACAATGTAATTGAGCAAATACTATCCTTCAATAATTTCCTCTTCTGGCTCTACAATTATATATATATTTATATATATAGAATATTCTAGAATAGTAGCCATTAACAATATTAGTTTTTTAAAAAATATTATTATCGATTCGTCAAGTAAGATCAATTAAATTACAGTTCATTAAATATGGTTAAATTATAACAATAATAATAAAAATATAATAGCAAATAGAATATCAACTAAAATTAGGGAAATTTCTACAAAAATTGAGGATCATGCGAACGTAGATGGCCAAGGTAAGGACAATGTATGAACTAACTTCTTTTGGACGCATAAATTAGGCTTCTCAATGTGGATCCCAATGGGCTCAACAATATATAGTAATCGAACTCTTAAGGTGAAGTTAATATTTGTTAGTATATGGTGAATGACTTTGAAAGCCTCCTTGACATAAATCTTGTGTTCTGTATCCACAAGATGAGATAGAATATCTCTACGAATAGATTTTGTTTGTCCTTTACTTAACCACTCAGGGTGATGTTCGAAAATCCGACGAGAAACACACCTAATTTTACGGCCTATGTAACTGGCTCCACAGTAGCAGTTAAACTGGTAGATACACATGGAAGAGGCGAAACAAGGCAGTTTGTCTTTTACTCCCGAACGCAAAATAGGGGTGGTTTTGAAGACAGCGTAATTCAGCAGCAGGGAATGCTCATTTTACCTCATTTCTAAGGCACTAATGTTGTCCCCGAGGAACTGAATTTGTACCTTGGGCTGCCTTGACTTTAGATTCACATTCTTATCAATAAACTTTTCTGGATAACCGTTCTCACTGAGCAACCGTTTAATATTATTGAGTTCCTCATCAAGACATTCATCCAAGCAGATTGCTCTTGCTCTGTGAACCAAGTACTTTATCAGATTGCGTTTGCATTTCAAGGGCACGAAGCTGTAAAAATGAGTAAACTGACCAGTTGATGTAGGTTTTCTACATACACTTCTTATTGTGCCTTTCTCCAGAAATGAAATACTAGAGTCTTTTTCTTTCTCAATAGTAAAACTTATTGCAGGATGAACATCGTTAAATTTGTCCAGAATTTTCTTTGCTTCATCCTCATTTTTCATAATCAGAAATGTATCATCCATGTACCGACAATAGGATTCAAGTTCATCAATTACATCTTTCAAAGGTTTATTTTTTGTTTTGCAAAGAAAATGTCGGTTAGAATGGGTCCTAGTGGTGACCCCTCTGCCACACAATCAGTTTGTCTGTGTAGTTCCTTATTAAATAAAAAAAAGTGAACATTCATTGTGCGTTTCAAGAGAAGCTCTTATAAAAGATATAAGAATGCCGACATCGATGTTTCGTCTTATGAGTTCTTCGCATACAAAGTCTACTGTTTCCAGAAGTGGTACATTGGTGAATAAGGAAGATACGTCAAATGATATCACGAATTTATTGTCAACATTTAAATCTTTTATCTTTTCAACAAATCGAAAAGTTTCCTTTACACTGTTTCACTAACTCGGTATGAAGGGGCTGTAAGAGTTCGACTAACCATTTGTCTACGGGATGGTATGGTGAATTTATCATATCTAATATTGGTCGAAGTGGTACACCATTTCTGTGCACTTTAGGCGAGCCATATAATCTTGGTGTGAACGTTCCAGTGGGTTTCAGTGATGTATACTGACTTTGTTATGAGATGAAGCCTTGTTTTTTTCAGTCTTATCAATGTTTCCACTAACTGTTTCTGTATCTTTTCAATCGGATCCAACCACTATTCTAGAATATTCTATGTATATAAACATATATATAATTGTAGAGCTAGAAGAGGAAATTATTGAAAAATTAATTACTCACCAAAATCTTTTTGCAATATATTCTTGTTATTCACATGAATGGAGAAGGGCAAGTTGCAATTATATTTATTTCAGTAAGTTTTCATGTGATATATATATATATATATATTCACTGGGATTTACATGCCAACTTAATTTATGTCCTGACAAACTGAAACACATATTGGTAAGATTGAAATAGTAAATAAGATTAGGGCAGATACACTTCGCTCTTGTTGCACTGTAAAGCACACTACGTGCGCTTGTAAAAGTTTTCCGTACAATAGATCCTAATATGTTAACGGTTGTTTGAAAAATTATCTGAGTCTTTTGTATGCACCGTTGAAATGGAATTCTGCATCACCAACAATTTTACCAATTCCGGGTTTGTGCATACCAGAACACTTGTCTAGTGGCACTGTCCTTATTTGGAAGCCTAACAGTATATATAATCTATTTTTCAACATTTACAAGTGAATAATTGTTCGTTCCTTGCGTTGCGAGTAAGACTTCAGCAACACGTCTTCACTGCAGTTGGTTCTCTGCTATCATTTTCAGCTGTTTCCTCTTCACATGGTCTTCTCCTGGTCATCTTTGGACACCAAACTCATCTCTTCCTATTCGGGTTCCACTCAAGGATTTGATGTATGGTGTCACTTTAAGGTTACTCCAGCTTTATGTTTAGTCCACCTACATTTGCTTCTGGAAAATTGTTCGTTGGTAGGTTATTAGCTCGCTTGCTGCCAATTTCACTCTTGGTAATAATAAACCTATTGTTTTAATAGCCTCATTCTCACTGATAATGTCATTTAGTCAGTACAATATGCTTCGTAATTCATTTTCCTTGGTGCAAGTGTTAAAGTACCAGCAATAATCGCATATTTCATGTCATTAAAGTCTGTGGGATTTAGGTTGAACAAAATGTCAGCCGAGCCTGGAATTTTTAGCATCACTCAGATTCTCATCCAGGACTATCGCTTCTGTTTAACATTTTCCAATACAGATGTTTTTGTGTTCGTTTTGCTGACCATCGTTATAGGTATATAGGTATATATATAAAAAATTGTTATTAATTTTCATCTAGCCGTAATGACTGAGTTCAATATCGGAGCTCATTGTTCTCAGGAGGATTGCAAACAGTTAGGTAAGTATTCCTTGTTTTTTCATCATGAATTAAGTTATTTTTCTTAATCTCCCATTTTGATTGATATTTGTATCTGAGTGGAATGTTTATTCAACACAAGTATTGATTTTATGGGAAATATGCCTATGTGATCACTTGTGATCCAGTGCTTTTGTCAGACGATACTCTTAAAGATTTTCGTTAGAATTTTATGTAGAAGCATCAAATTAGTAGGAATGAATGCACTGATTCCTCACACTTTTTCTCACTCGTCTGCGTTTCGAGTGGAACATACGACTTCCAGCGTGAGTTTTGAGGTCTCAGTAGTTATGACGTTGTTTTTATGGGGTTGGGGTTGGCACCCTCACGTTCAACCTTGCCTATTCACTGGGTTCAATACCGGCTAATTGAGGTTTATCAGTGCTTCGGCCGGAACCATATATATATGTATCAAGGATTTTCATGTGTTTATAGTTAATTGCATGGAGGATTTCATCATGAGCTGACATCAGTTAGATAACCACTGGAAAACCTGGGAGTACTGGACAGCTGTTTCGTCCTAGTTTGGGGCTCCTCATCAGTACGCATCCACCGGGGTTCGAACCCAGAACCTTCTGTTTACAAGGCGAGCTCGTAGACCATTGAGCCACTGGGACCCGATCCGATGGTTCTTGAATTCTAACTTCTGCCAATTCACGACATAGCGCGATCAGTACTTGAAAATTTATAGATGTTACTGATAATGATATTTTCATAATAATTCTTACAACTTATAAATCAAGAATCGAACTGTTTCACCATCGTAGTAAGATTTATAGACTTCGCTCTCTTTTTTTTCATACTTTGAAACAATCAGTTAACTCCAATTTCAGTTGATTCTACGTCAAGACATGTGTAAAAATTATACATATGCGTAAATCTCGTAGACGTCGAAATCAATAAGTAAATAAGTGCGAGGTCACACTTTGTATTTAGAATCCTTGTCCAATCATGTTTAAGTTTAAGTTCATAGTCATCAAAACAGAATTTTTAATCATCATTATTATTATTAGTCTTTTTTTGTGTTATGCACTGTAAACAGTGTGCACTAGCGTGTGTACTTTTGCACTAATTTTAAGTGAATCATGTTAGAACATAGGCCATATTAACACTGACTTAGGAAGGGAATTTGCACTCTTTTAAAAATGTGAATGTTGTATATATATCTGTATAGAAGGTGAATAATCACATAATTAGTCTGCACTTTGAAATAAAACGAGTTGACGTTGATGTGGGTTGTAATTTTGAATCTCTGTTGTATCTGCAGGAATGTTGATTATATACTGTCTGTTTGTCTGTTGATTCAACATAGAACTTGGCACCGAAGTGTAGCAGTTCGAGTTGCCACGTTCCAAATATCACACAAAGGTAGACAAGATGAGTGAAGAGAATCAATTGAGTTTTGACTAGTATAAGAGTGAAATAGAGTGGATAATGGTAGAAGGGAATACGAAAGATTACAGAGACTGAATACATCTGCGCCATTGACAACGCCTATTGTCTCCAGCCATTGATTATTAGAGTCCCGATGGTGGGCCCCAACCCGGAAGTCTGCATCTTCCTCCCTACCTGACTCAGTTTAACTGTCAGGGATTTCATGGATTGATGAGGCCATGTTTTTGTTTGGCCACCACTTACTCTTTTCCAACCTGCACCTATATCAGCTAGTAATGCCCATCCGTCTTGGGAGGCTTTGGTTAGGCATACGCAGCACGTGACCTAGCCATCTCAATCTGTGTAACTTTATAGCCTCGTCGATTGATTTTCCCTGTTAGACCAACACTCTACGCCTAACGTCCCGACCGAAAGCTGCTACCTTGACGTGGTGGTTGGGCTTGAACACCGCAATGACCCAACAAGCTATACTGGCTGAGACTTATGTCGCTTGATTACATACAGTTACATAGGGTTAATCTCAGTGAAATATGTTGCTTTAGATGGTGCAAATAATCGGGACAATGATTAGACAGACGTGAGAATTAGTGATACAGATGTATTTTATTCAATTTAAAATAACTGTAAATGAAAGTGGAATATATATAGTAAAGGATTCGTGTGAGCTTATTATTATTCCCTTGGGTTCCGAATAGGGCATAGGGCTTCAACAGCACATCTTCATTTAATCTTTTTCTCTGAAGTCCTTTTAAAAAGTTGACTTCAAGATTGTCCATAAGCTCTCATATTCTCTTGACATGATTTGCTTCATGTTATCCTCGGACGCCCAACTCATCGTTCCCTGTTCTTGTTCCAGTTGTGGGCATGCAGTGCGATGTCACTCAACAGTCTACTCAGAGTGGGTCTAATCTATTTCCATTTCCTTGAGCATATTTTTAATGCAATAGATTGTTGGTTTGCTCGCTCCCAGAGTTCCCCGTCGTTTATCATTTCTGGCCATTTTATCTTCAATATCAAGCGAAGGCAACTGTTGGTGAAAGTAGGAAGTCTGTTGAAAAAGCTTTTCGTGACACGAGCGGTAAATTTCTGAACCGTGTAGAAGCGTTGAGTATTAACGGAAGTGTTGGAAATACGAATCTTGTTCAACGGGAGTCTTGTCTTCATTATTTCTTTTGCCAGTTTGTTGGTTTTCAAGTGTGGATCTCAGAGTTTATGTGACATTAGACATAAGTCTAGATCTTTCATAGTCTTTTTGTGAGTCAAAACTGATACAGTTATGGTTTATGATGTCAACCTGCATTAATATCAATTGGTTCTGTTTGCAAAGTGCAGACAAATGATGTACAATCCTTCACCTATACATATTATTTTACACCTCATTGAAATTGTTAAAAGATGGTACATATTCCCTTACTACTTTCATTTCACCATGTAGAGCGCTTTGTGGGACCTTTTTTTTATTATCGAAAATGTAAATTAACGGCAGGTCGAAAAAACACACTACTTGGATGTTTTGTTTTTCAGATTTCCTGCCTATCAATTGTGAACTCTGTGGTCGTATCTTTTGGTAAGTTTAACCTATTTTGACGGTATCTTGACGGTATTTAACATCAGTTGGCGAATAGAACCACACTAGCTTAGTTACCACATTGTGCATAGACACTTTGGTGTAAATAAAGTAAGAACGAACATATTTGCAGGACATTACGAGCTCGTTTTGTTTTGGTGGATTCTCTTCAACTGCCTGCATCCTAAATAAATCAATTATATGTTAGAAAGTGGTGTCTGAACATACTTTTTACAGCGGTTTCAAGTTATATATAGAAAATATAGACAACATAATTTGAAAGCTGATGTAAGTAGACAATTATTTAGTGTGTTAAAAGAGTACCTATTTATGTAGTAAGTAGATAAGATCGGGTTGTGTTCAAATTTCATTTGGAGACAAGGCTGGACTACAGACAAAATACAAGGTCGAACAACAGAGAGTTAATTTATGTATAATTTGGTGGAGAGTTCAGGAGAGTAGGGTGATTAGTAAATCAACATTATAAAATAGATAAAATAATTTAATTGAGTAGGCTTGGAACCTTCACCATTCACCCCGACCCTCCTGAACTCTCTACCATAAATTGTATGAATTAATTCTGTTGTTCTCTCTTGTATTTTGTCTCTGGTTCGTCCTTGCGTTCCACAGAAATCTGAACTCCAGCCGCTTGTCTAATTACTACATAAATAGTTACTCTTTTAACACTAAATAACTGTCTACTTACATCACCTTTCAAATTATGTTGCCTATAATACTTTCTATTTATATCTTGAAATCACTGTAAAAAAGTATGTTCAGACACCATTTTGTAACATATAAATTTGATTTATTTAGGATGTAGGTAGTTTAAGAGAATCCACGAAATAAACCGAGCTCCTATTATCCTGCAAATATCTGTTCGTTCTTTCTTTTATTCAAACTAATAAAGGGAACCGGCTGTGTGAAAGACACTTTGGTATTAGACAATTACTGATTGGTGCATATTATTTGTCTTTGTAATATCGCATACCTTTTATCGATTATATACTTCTATAATTATCGTTAACTAATTACTAAGGTTAATGAGCATACCGGTTGTGTCTTTAGATTTTTTCACACTGAGAATGCCGACACTATTGTAATGACCTTTGCAAACAAAACTTACACTTTACAGTCAGGATAACAGTTTCTTTGATTACTTCTAGATCTTAATATTTATTCGTCAATGATTCTGCAAGCCTAATAGACCATGTATCGTCTCGTTAAACCATACACTACTGATTGATTGAGATAAGTAGGTGTAAACCAATCACATCGACCAGTAGTAGTGCTTGCTTGCTAGCCAGACCATCATCGAAGTGATCTAAACATTGGACGGCTGTTTCGCTTGTTCGGCGTCGAACTCATCTAAGAGTAGAATTCATGGGCTATTGGGTTGGGTCCCGGTGGCTTAATGGTCTACAAACTAACCTCGCAATCTGAGGGTCTTGGGTTCGAACCCCGTGGACGCGTACTGCTGAGGAGTCACAAACTAGACAGGGACATCTGTCCAGTACTCTCAGGTTTCCCATTAGTTCCCTTACTGACGTCGACCTGCGATCAGACCTGTAATCAACCCAAGTAGCCGAATCACTTCAAGGCATCCGGATGCTGCTGGCTAGCTACTTGAGTGAACTGGTGATATTTCACCAGTGTTGAGATTTCACCTATGTTGAACTTCACGAATTGCGAATTGCGGATTTGATTGATCATAACTCGAGTAGCCATTTGGATAAGAGGCATAACTCAGCTGTAATATTCATCAAAGATCACTTGCAGTCATTACTCCCTTTGATATATTTAAACCAGTTTCGTTTGGATTGATTGTGTCTACGTGGAATCAAGGGTTTGCTTTTGGGAATGTTTAACATTTTCATCCCTAGTCAATTTGCAATTATTGGTTTCAGTTGCGTGGGTGTTGGTTTTTACGGGGTGTGGTTACTAGGCTCGCGCCAAATCGTCTGTCTATACCGGTCTTACTACCAGCTAAGCGCAAGGTTTAAGAGTGTGTGCTGGCTGGGAATGAAATCCGGATCTGCTGCATGAGGGCTGGGAGGTATTCCGCCAATGAACCATACCAGTTTGCAATATTGGTAAAGGTATCTTCAGGGATAAACCTGGCTAAATGAATCAAAGGAATAAATAAATTTAGTACCGTCTAAATTGCAGTGATTGTTTACATAATTCTTTTTTTACCACGAATCAAGCAGTTTTTATATTTACGATTAATTCCAAAGTCTGTTACCTTGCAATGATCCTAAGTACCCACTAATCACTTCCACAAAATACTTTAAAGTCCTGATAAGGAAGTGTATACCAATCGTATACTAAGCGATGGTACTGGTGAATTGTGCCACACATTCAAGTAATTAGTGTGTTCTGTCAGCTTATATTTTTAGAGGTTCAACTTGCCTGTTCAACTTAATTCACTCAAAATCGAAAGGTTATAGTTTATCAAACTCAGATACTGGTTAGCTGTTTTCAATAAATTTAGCTTATATTTGCACATTTGGAGTTAATTACGAAAACATGCGAATTTATTACAGCACAGTAACTAATGCAGATACTTAATCCTCAGTGTTACCAGGGTGTGCAATCTGGTATGACGGATACTATTGTGCATTGATATGATTCAGTCTATAAGAAATCCTGGACTAACGTTTCATGTTTGTTTGGAATAATTTGCATCCTTCAAGGAGTCTCATATACCAACAAACAAACAACCTGGTTACAAAGCTTCCTGCTGACAGATCTATGTTTTCTAATATTACACTCATTACTTAAAAATGCAATGCTAAAAAATAATTATAATTAGTTCGTTAAAAAGCAGATAAAAAAAGGGGGGCGAGTCAAACCAAAATCTGATATTAATCCATGAAGTCTTCTCTTCGACTGTTGGTTTCAGCCAGCCATGTAGCAAAGTGTACACTATCTAGGGGTCCTTAGAGTGCTAAGAATCAGTGGGTTGAGACTGTTAGTGATGTGTTCCAAAAGTGTACTATGTAGCGCAGATGCAATTACTCTTTTTTATCTCCAAAACCCATTAAATCCTGATGTTTTTTCCTATGTCACTTTACTTTCTCCCGTACATTTATGCTCTCATTATTGCTTTTTTCTCTCTACCTTTGTGTTGGGCTATATGAAGTTTGCTAGCTTGAAATACTGCATTTTTCTGCAAAGTTCTAAGCTGTGAATTCAGTCAGTCAGATAAGAAGGGATCCATGTATCTGATTTATCATAAAACTGATTAGTAAACGAAAAGAATATTCTTTTCGATAACTTCCTCATCAGGTTCTACAGTTCGTAGTTGTTGGAAGTAATAACGACTAAGGGGCGTTGGTGGTTCCCCGTTAGGACGCTCGCGAACCACTCACGTGGTTTGGGGTTTCATCCCTGACCGACTCACTCCTAAACCACGCTAAGCCGGCCGGCTTATAAAGGCCGCTAAAGAGAGAAGGTTGGACGTGAGGCTAGCAACCCAACCCCGTAAAAACATAAACATCACTGCTACCGAAACTTCAAAGCTCTAGATTAAAGGCATAGGTTCTACTGGGAACGTAAAGGAATAAAAATAAATGAATAATGCATTATTAAGATCAGTGGATTTTTGCACAGAAGTGTTTTAGTGATGATATGCGTATATATAATACTGAGTTGAATATCAGACTAATTAAGAAAAGTAATACGGAATTTATGAATTTATGGATACCACAGAAGACTAGGGTAGCAATAGTGACTGAACCGGTTTCTTTTATACACTGAAATCCAGTTGTTCTTTAAATCTATTTTCCTAACTTGTTAGTTATTATTTCATTTGGTATGCGACGTTCGAATTGCAGTCGTATATGCGCGGACTACTTGTTTGCAGATGCAGAAATGTATCGGGCACGCGTTTCATGATGGACTTTTCTTCATAGATATTTTCAATTTAGGTGTCATGCAATTACATATGAACTTTTAATACCTGTAAACTGCAGCTCATATTTTCCACACAACCAGTTGTGATCTCTCAACTGTGATAGATGAAGTACCCTAAACTAGTCACTCCTTCTTGTTATTTATCGATCCAATGACTCCTATGTAACCAGCTGTATTGGTCATCGCTTTAGAATCCTAGTTGTTCGTTCTCGGGAGTATTCACCAGTGTGGCTAAATAAGGGTGCATTAAAAGCCATCAACAGTCCGATATTTGATCACCTGATCCCAACAGGCCATAAAGCTAATATCGAAGAATCTATTTTTATCATTTGTCAGGTATCCAATAAATTGGGAAATGCCTCAAACAGCAGTGGTCATCACAATTCGATTAGAACAACCGAAACTCTGCGTATAAAGTGGAAGAGGCCCAGGCATTATCACTAACCTGACCTCCTATGGAATCTATAACTTCATAAGTTCTGTAGTGCTTTTCTTTATTTATCTGATATTCATTTTACTGTGTACAAAAGTTTTGAATAGAAACCTGTGGGGGTTTATTAATTCGATGTTTAATTTTGTTAGTCAACATTTTACTCTCGTTTTAATACCTTAGTTTTCCCTTTCTTTTCTGAATGTTCACAGCAAGACTCACAGTTCCTTGACGGCGCATAATTGTCCTATATCAAATTCTTCCTATCCTCAAGAATCTATCAGGTTGGCGTTTTTTGTATGGTTTTGATTCAAAATTCTCTTGTTTTTTCACCGTATAGTCATAGTCAATATTGTGATGCTGATAATGGTGAAGATAATACCGGTAATGTTTGTGATTTTCATCAGTGCGGTGAACGACAATTGGTGCTGTTAACTTGTGAAGCATGCAATGGAAATTTCTGTATCAGGTCAGTGGAATAAAATATTCAGAATTCATTTTTTCGATAGATGAAGATGTTTTTTCGCCTTTCAAGTTGACATAAATCTACAAAGGGGGGGGATGTTGTATACCTTCTGAGATTGATAAATTTATCTTAACTAAATTATTATGTATTACTATTTATGGTTAGAAGTACAGAGGTACGGACAACAATAATAATAATAATAATTTGCTTTATTCCAAAAACAGTACTACTGGTACAGTGTGGAATTTTCAGCACATATCTACAATATTTGCATCTAATTTTATCAAACAATTAAAAGGAGTATTTCAAAAAAATAAATATAAAGACAACAACAACAACAAAATACTCAAAAAAATTTTTTTAATGCGAAAAGAAAGGAAAATAAACAACATAAAATAATATTTCAGTATTGGGTAGTGGAAGCTATGATATGATTATGCATGGTGACAGTAAAGCTATAGTCATATAAGAAGTTATGAAATGATATTTAAGAATGTTTATCGCCAAGGTGGTCAGTCAATTTGGTTGAAACAACTCTAAACAATCATAAAATAACATTTTAGGGTTTTTGTTTTGTTTCTTATTGTCAGGTCTAATGCAGTGTTTGTAGTGGTGGTGTGAGTAATCCTGCATAATACAAAATTTTTTTTAAGGTGGTGACTATGGCGTTCACAACCAATGATTGTCAGTTTAATATTGCCGAAAAGTATAAAAAATAAAAAAAAACAACCACAAAATTAATAATTACATGATGGTTAATGACAGGAAAATTTTGTACTACTCATAGTGCTAATAGAGTCGGAACCAGTGGATACACAATAGAAGGAATACAGTAAAATACAAAAAAGGAAGCCAATGTTAGTAATTTAGGTAGCTAAGTATGTTTGAGAAGGAGTTCACTATAGAATACAAAATAAGAGAGAAATAAAAGAGCCTAAAATTATGTTGTTAATAACAAAGCAAGTCATAGGTTTCGCGCTTAACATTGTCTCTGTCGCTTGGTATCGTTGAGTTCCTATACTTGGTTGTACGAGCATACATTAATTTTATACTGATTTCTGGTTTTACTTGATGAGATACAAGGCGAGAGTTGGGAATAGAGGGGGTGTTGGGGGTCGGAGAGTATGGTTTTTGACCATTTTTCGCATGTATTCAGATGCCTATCAACTAAAGTAGTGACGAGCTGACTGAGATTTACACCACTAGTCCTACTGACTACCTTCAACATCCTTCTCAGGATGGTATAGTCCTTTTTCAGTAGACCAGGAAAGACTAACGGGGAGCAGTAAAGTAGAATAGGTAAGGTACGAGGGTTGACAAATTGTGAAAGTAGAGGTTGGGTGATTCCAGATTGTCTAAGTTTCTTAATGTAGTAGGTTAGACAGAACACTTTCTTAGAAATCGTTAGGATATGAGATGTCCAAGTAAGGTTGGAAGATAGAACTAGACCGAGGTATTTTGCATTAGACAACCCAAATTATCTAACCTGAGATCACTTAGTCATCATTGGTCTTAATTCTAGCGACTGTACTTTAAAACAAGGCGACTGCGTTTCTCATTCAAGTCATACTAAGACTTCTGCTACATGTATCAACATTGTTAGTGCTTTTTCCATTTCATTGATTTTCACATGGAATGTATGCGGCTTCAGGCTCAAAGCCTTGAAATATCAGTAGGGGTGGTGTTGGTTTTACGAGGTGGGGTGGCTAGTTTTATGCCTAACGTTTCCTCTTTTCCGGCCTTGCTATTGGTTAGTTAACTAGGCGAGGTTCGGGAGTACTTCGGCCGGGAATCGATCCCCGGACCAATTGCATGGTTCTCGAGGTTTCTTCCATTGAACCACCGACACATTAACATTATTTATACCCCGAGTGTAATTAAAGTAAATTCGAGTCTTTATTCTCTTATGAACTCCTCAGGAGTTGAATTTTACGTTTACTGGAGTTGTGACTAACTGGGCTATATGCCTTGCTGCTGCTGGATTCATCATAGAACTTGGCACCGAAGTGCAGCAGTTCGAGTTGCCACGTTCCAAATAGCACACAAAGGTAGACAGGAAAATGAGAGAAGAGAATTAATAGAATTTAGATAAGTATAAGAGTGAAACAGAGTGAGTAATGGTAGAAAGGAATATGAAGGTTAAAGAGACTGAATACATCTGCGCCATTGACAACGATTTTGAGCCATGTCACCTATTGTCTCCAGCCATTGATTCTTAGAGTCCCGAGGGCCCCAACCCGGAAGTCTGCATCTCCCTACCTGACTCAGTTTAACTGTCAAGGATTTCATGGATTGATGCCATGGCTATATGTCTTGCTTTATAATCACTTGGTTCACGCGGAGATTTTCAGACAGCTAGGTAGGGTTGCTATCGGAAGCACTCATATACACTAAGTGTGGTATCTTGTCGACTGCATCAAATCAGAGGTGGCTGTTGAGTAACACTTTACATTTCCTTCCCACCAGTCTCTGTCTGCTATGTGCAGTTCACTGTCCTGGTGATATACAACTTTATTTGATTATCATACGGCTTTTCTGAGTGCTACTCATGTCCATTTTTATTTGTGCAGACTGTTTGTTTTCATGTTTGAACATCACAGTGTAAATTATCGTTTTATTAGTAGCATCATTAAATTTGGGTATCTAATACTGATAGTTGAGGGACAACTGAGATTCTTTTATCCTCATCATCTTCAAAGTAGATAGTCGCAAATATGGAGGAGATAACTATCTGTTCGGAGATTGCCTGTCGTTTGAAAATCAACTAGTTTGAGAAGTATATTCTTGTAAATACAAGTGTGAATGGACTACTGTGACACAGATTTTAAATATAACTTTCAACTACTACTTGACGAATTATTGAGATGGAAAATTAACGTGAGGGGTGGAGATCAATACGATGTTAGAGCTCAAATACCCGTGACATATTTTCCATTCATCAGACTATGATCCACGGGTATTGTGTAAGAGCTAATTTTACTAATCAATCGCTCAGAGTGAAGTGGATGGAGTGATTTTAAAACCCTGGATCCCCTGACTGACAGTAATCTGCTTAAGCATTCAATTATGCCCTTGTATGGCAATATATACTCACGTACATTTTTACTTAGCTATCCATCTACCGGTACACAAATCTCAGATACAAGGGAAAATATCATAGGGGATGATTCTATGCTTCAGATAGAAATGCATTTGGTCACATTATAAAATATAGATTGCTATTTTACTTAAAAATCATGGATGAAGAGAAAGCATTAAGTAGTAATAAATTAAACTGAGAACCTTGTACACTTTTTTTCAGAATCAAGCTGTTATTAATATTGTATTATTATTAGCAGTGGAATCCAGGATGAACACTTCGTCCTATTTAGGACTCGGCAACCGGATGTACTTGCAATTGCCAGTGCATATCGGTTTTGCCATTTTGACTTGAAACTAGCACCCATCCTTTCAAAGGCTAAGACACTATCCTCCAAGTCACTTCGACCATTACCAGTCATTATTTGTGGACATGTCAACACTTAGTACTGACTGTTAGAGGATGTTTGAGGATTACACATGATTTTATGTGGTGGATGGATGGTGACTAACAACTGCATTACCGGCACAACTATTTGACGAGTCGCAAATAAGACGAAGTGCACATGTTGCACTGTAGTGCTAGTAATATATTCAAAATAACAACTGCATTCTGAACAAAAAATGTACAACATTCTCTGCAAAATTTACTGCCTAATATTTTCTCTTCATATAAGTATATTCAAGTAAAATAGCAATCTGTAGTTTATAATGTGACGAAATGCAGTTCTATCTGAAGCATAAAGTAAGCCTTTATGATATTTTTCCTTCGTCTCTGAGAAATGCTCACCGACAGATAGAAAGCTCATTAAAAAAATATTCGTGAGCACATTTTTTGACTCAGCGGCATAATTAAATGGGTACAGAATTAGAGGAAATATGTTATAATGTGTCGGATGGAACTCAAGTAGTGATTCAAGCAAACCGCAAATCAGATAAAAAGTGTATACATGCTAACCTCAACAGTTATCTGGGTGCTCGACTTTCAGTTAACAGGTCCCTAATCTGATATATTTTGGCCATAAGAAAAAGACGTTAAGAGAGAATGAAATTTTCGTTTCGACGATTCATTTCCATAAGCTGTTGTACAATCGTTATTATATTTAACGAAGAAATCATAAGACCAACCAGACACTGGTAAAATTTGTCCCCGAAAAATGTATTACGTAATGTAAAGTGTAACACAGACGGGGTGACTAACTGGAAGTTAGAAAAGAGGCAGGAGTTGGCATGACGTAATAAGTGTGAGAAAATGACTAATCAATATAACTGTATGGAATGGACAAGAACTGGTGGAAAGACGATAAAGTGTTTTTATAAAATCTGTATGAAAACACAATGTTATTAATAAACAGTTATAGATCGAGAATAAAATGGGTGGTGAGAATTATCATGATAATAAAATAATATAAAAAATAATAATAGTAAACGAAGCAAAATTGTGGTAAGAAAGTTACTCTGTGTACAGTAGGGTGAGTGAATGTATGTGGTCCTTTTGAATACAGGGGTCCGGTTTCAGATCCCGAATAGCCAATGATTCGGCTATGTACAGATGGCGTATTCAAAATCCTTTCTTACAATATTCAGGGACTCTGTGTAGTACTGTGAAGCATTCATGCATGGGTGCTCGATGTCCAGAGTTGACAAGGTGATCAAGGATGGAGCTTCTACTGTTCTTCTTTTCTCCCTTGGTCAGTTAATTAGATTCTAATTGAAGTCAGCACATGGATAGGACAGTCTTATTACTTGAGCTGATAAACAGTCATTTCTGTTGAGAGCCATAAGCTTATTATGATAGCTGTACTCTCTTCGCCCTTTCGATCGGTCGGTCGGTTTTCGACATAGAACTTAGCACATATGTGCGGCAGTTCAAGTCGCCCTTTAGCCATATATATATATAAGTGTGATTAATTGCTCCTTTTATAAACGAATTGTATGTCTTTAACCGGAAGGTCTAATCAACAATATAAGTCCCTATAAAACAAATGCTGAAACATCTTCCACACGAGTAGCCTGGTATTACAAACCGTCAAGCACAAATGATTTTTTAAACAACTAGAGTAAGCAAGTGTGTAAATATAATAGTCCACTGGACTGTATTTTGGTTCGTTGGTGGTACAGCGGTAGAATGATCGCCAACCACGCGAGTGGCCCCGGGTTCGATCCCCGGATGACGCACTCCTTTGCGTCGCTAGGCCAGTAATAAGACTGGTAAAGAGGAAAGGTTGGGCATGAAGCTAGCAACCCCATTCCGTAGAAATAATAAACACCACTGCTACCGAAACTTCAACCCTCTAGCTTGAAGCCCTATATTCCACTGATAACGTAATAGAATAGAATTTTAAAAAATAACTGGATTGTATTTTAATGTCAGGTGTGTGTAGAAGTATCCATATCCTAGAGTGAAAGTGAATTCAACTGATCAGTCCTATGTGAGACGAAACTTACTTTACTTTTGTTCCTTTACGTTCCCAGTGGAACACTGGGCTTCAAGCTAGAGTTTTGAAGTTTCGGTAGCAATGGTATTTACTTTTTACGGGATGGAGTTGCTGCTGGCCTCATGCCCCCCAACCTTCCCTCTTTACTAGCCTTATTACTGGCTTAGCGAGGTAAAGGGGTGCATCGGTGGCCTGGGGTCGAACTCTGAACCGCATGCGTGGTTGGTTAGCATTCTACCGATGTGCCACCGACGCATATATGAGACGAAACGCATCGTAAACAAAAGCATTCTGAAATACAAACTCATATCACGCATACGGCAATCCCTGCAGTAGAACCCGAATGGGAAAAGATGAGTTGGATTTGTATCCAAGAGTGACATGGGGGAAATCATGCGTTTGTGTGTGTGTGTGACAGAAATGGAAGCTTATGGGTTGTCGTGAAGCCACGTAAAATAAAAGATTACAAGAGAGGTAAGTAAAGTGCATATATGCCACAGAAGCCTCATGTTCTACTCAAAGCCCGATGGTATCATTAATATAATACTGTTAGTCTTCTAGGACAAGTTACCTTGTCAATTTAAACTTCTCTAGTGAAAATAGTCATTCTTGTACTATTTCCAGCTTCAACTTCAGGCTTACTCCCATTTATGGTTTCTTTTCATGATATCGTATATCACTTAGGTGAATTTTTTCTTCACCTTTAAACAATACTCAGTATTTTTGAAGAAATAAGCCCCCATTTCTTTTATTCCCCTATTTAGTCATAAACAAAAAGAAGTTCATGAATGTCCTTTCTTGGAATCGAATCAAAAGGAAAAAAGCCAATCAACTAAAGTTGCCGTTGTCGATCGAGCTGCTTTAAATGGTTGGTTTCTTCTGCTTACTTTATCGATTGACCTTTTTTGCCAGTCTGCTGAAATGCTTTATTGTAAGGTGTAAGACTATACTATATTACTAAAAGTTAGAAATAATGTTGAAGATTTCTAGCTAAGGTGAATGATATTAGTGCAGTTGTGTTCTCTGTTTTGGATAGGTTCCTTTACAATGCTTTCATTATTCTTTTCGAGGTGGTGGCTTAGGTGGTATAATAGGCTGAGCAATATTGAGGTTAGGCATCGGTCGAGTGCTAGGCAAGGAGGGGAAATCAATCGATAAGGTGGTGAAGTTACACCGATTCATATGGTTAGGACATATTTTGCGCATACCAAGCTATTGTCTTCCTCGACGGGCAATGTCAGTGTTATGACCGGAATTAATGTGCTGGCTAATCTGTCCTAATCACACGTCAAAAACCACAGTATAAATAATACTGCTGGGCTGCAAAAACAGAAGAGAAAACTGGACGGTGGTAAGAGAGCTTTTTAGTGTCTCAAAAACAACAGTCAAAAAACGTTGACAGCGGTTGTGTACACATATATATGGGTAAAATGACCTTGAGAAGCACTAGTGTCATTGATAAATCAAGACGGTGAGCAACCAATAGGATTTCAAAGGTCATAAGTGGGGTGAGAGAAATACAAACAGACATGTAAAAATAACATGTAGAAAATTAGGCTTGTATATATCGGTTAGCTGACTGACATAGAGTCAGGTCGGAAAAGAGAGAGCTTGGCATCAGTCATTGAAATCCACAACAGTCAGTTCAATGCACGTAGGGGGGGTGTTACCTTCCTGGTTGGGGTCCTCGGGATGGTAAAAACCAATAGTTGAAGCCAATTGATGATATAGCTCAAAGTCCTTCTCAATGAGTAGCGCAGATCCATTCACTGTTTGTGATTTATAATAAATATCCAATACAATTCTATTGTTTTTCCATATTACTATTCTTTTCGCGTCATATTTCTGTTTATTATTTCTCTGTCATTTGAATCTCTCCTTACTGTCTTCTGCTTTGTATGGCACATGGAGTGTGGCAACTCGAACTGGTACCCGCGTGTGCAAATTTCTACGTTGAAAACAAACTTCAACATGAAGTGTGCTTTAAAATTTCTCCACGAGTTTTATTAACCATTTCTCCAGGTGACTTTGAAAACAGTTGTTTGTGTATAGAAACTTCCTCGCTCATTTGTTTATTTGTATTGGTATCGATTACTTTGTTGATTTGATGGCTGACCTTTTGTCCGAGTGACTTACTTTTTATTATTTGATAAATGTGATTTGTGTCAGCTTGTCTGTTTTCCACCAAAGGAGTCAACAGCAAAAGAAGGCAAAGCTGACATAATCTGCATGATAAACTGCAATAACTGTGAAAAATAGTATATTGATCAAATGGGACGTCATCTTCGTTTTACATATCTATATCCATAGACTGGTTGTCAAAAAATATGATATCTTTTACCTCATGTCAATGCATACAGACAACTAAGGACATCAGTTCGATTGGGAAAATGAACAGATCTTAGATAGAAAAAATTCCCAGAAGCTTGACATTCAGACGAATCTATATCAAATTTATCAAACAATAAAAGGTAAATCAACTTGAAAAGAAGGTCAGCTATCAGATCAACGAAAGTACTAATGCAAGTCGACAAGACTTTGCTCATATGTGCGGCAGTTCAAATCGCCACACTCCGTGTAGCACACAAAGCAAGAGAATAAGGTAGAAGAAATGCATAATATAGACAGTAAACAGAGGTGTGAGACAAAGGAATAGTAATAACGAAGAACAAAACAGTTTCATTGGAAATCATAAGTCACAAGGAGTGGATGCATCTGCGCCACTGAGAACGATTTTGAGCCATGTCACCAATTGTTTCCAACCATTGGTTTTTACCGTTCCGAGAACCCCAACCAAGAAGTCTACACCTTCCTACGTCGCCGGCTTAAACTAACTGTTGTCGATTTCATTGACTGGTGCCATGTTTTCGTTTGAGGGCCGCTAGCTCTTTTCCAGCCTGGCCCTATATCAGCTAATATTGTCCGTCGAGGAAGGCGATGACTAGACATACGTAACACATGTCCTAACCATCTCAGTCGAAGTAATTTCACAGTTTCGTCGATTGATTTCCCCGCCTTACCTAGCACTCGACGCCTAACCTCAATATTGTTCACCCTATTACACCACTTCACACGGGAGATAGAACGCAGACACCTATGATCGAAGACAGCTAATCTTTTCATGTCTTCTGCTCTTAATGGCCAGGTCTCACAGCCAGCCATAAAGGAGGACGGAGCGAACTGATGAGCAGTACACATGCACTTTGGTCGATAGTCGGATATCACGTCTACGCCAGAGACGGCGTAAACTGGCATATGAGAAGCTAGACCTCTGTATTCGTGCTGAGATTTCGTCAGAGATCAACCCGTTGCGGCTGATGGTACTTCCAAAATAAGTGAAGCGGTCAACGTGCTGTACCACTTCACTCCCTATTTGTAAACTAGGAGTCAGTGTAGTCCAGTCCTGTAACATCATCTTGCATTTGGCGGATGTCGACAAGAGGATGAGAAGGACTCCATAAACAACTAGTTTTTTTTCAAAGTCACCAGAGCCATTGTTAATAAAACTAATGGGGAATTCTTAAAGCTCACTTTATACTGAAGTTTACGTTGAAAATAGGTTGTCTAGAAAAACAACGAAGGCTTCGCAAATTAAGCACTTAACTCAGAGAACACAACTCACTAATATTACTAAGAGTATGTATCAGATGAGTATTACTTTATAACATATAAAGGACTCTCCACATGATACTTAAAGAAACAGGAATTGTTCAGAGACTTGCTTTATAATACTGCACACAAAATAAAGAGTATTTAGTCTGTATAACGAAAGAACCAACAGATATTTGCAAAATAATACGAACTCGTTTTATTTTGTGGATTCTTTTCACCTGCATGGACCCCAAATAAGTCAATTATACGTTTCAAAATAGTGTCTGAACATACTTTTTATAGTGATTTCAAGTTGTAGATAGAAAGTATAAGCAACATAATTTGAAAACTGATGTAAGTAGACAATTATTAAGTGTTAAAAGAGTACCTATTTATGTAGTATTTCGACATAGGGGTGGGGTATTTATTTAAAGTAACATTAAAATAGTGTTTTGTGACTATCCAATGTTCATTATGATGTCAGTTGTGCAATTGTACAGCCGGGAAGATAAAATGGTATGTTCCGATAAAGAGTCGTGGCAAGGGCCGAAACACTTTCCTTCTGCATTGACTCTCTTTATGGCATTTTTCGGAGATAACAATCTTTGCAAACTAATTTAGTCCTGTATATACCATGTCATTATGTACCATGAATTAATATCACTTGTTGACATTTATTTGTAGTGTAATTGTGAATACGCATAAATGGTGGTTTTGCAGATGATGCTTATTCGTTTACTTAATTGGATCCAGGTAACCCGAACGTATTACTAAGAGGTCGTGACTGCCTGACTGACTTTTGATTTGATTGATGTAGAAGGGTATGGATTAGTTGGCTGACGTTAAAGTTCTTGGGGTGTTGATAATCACTGGTTGGACGACATGGGTTTAATTTGCCAACATCTTTACAATCCTAAATTTCTCCAACCCACGTTTGTCTATTACAATGTCATTCTATTTTTATTCCCTTTTTTGGTGTTCCATTCTAAAGTGGGATAACTTGAACTGATGCGTTGCTATGCAAGGTTTTGTATAGATCTATCAGGCAGTCTTAGGTAGATATTAATAATTGATGTAGTTGTGTTCTCTGAGCTGGAAGCTTCCAATGTCCTAGTAGGCACCATCTTCAGTGTATACTTCAATTTGAAGTGGGCTTTTAGATTCCTCCACGAGTTTATTAGTCATCTCTCCTGGTGACTTTGAACTTAATTGGTTGTTTTTGTGTATTTTCACACCCTCTAGGCTACTTGTATTGGAGCTGATTGTTTCCCTGACTTGACTCTTTGTCTGTAAGATTTCCTTCTTATCGATTGGTAAATTTTGTCGATGTCAATGGGCCTGTTAATTGCCTATTCACTGGAATTTCAGGCTTCTAAAAATTCTGTAGCATTCTTGGTGTTTCTTCTGTTCAATATTTGAACATTGTCCCAGTCGAATTGATGTCCGTGGTTGTCTGTATGCACTATGGCGATATGAGGGAGTAGATGTCATGTCTTTTGACGGCTAGTTTATCTTCATGGATACGAAGACGAAGAGGACGTCGTCCACTTTGGCCAATGTAGTGCTTTTTTCAGTCATTACAACTTATTTTGTAGATCTACATCGAAATCATCCACCTGAATTACAAATCTTCTCCATCATATTATTTATAATTGTAAAATCCTTATGCATTTACGTCCACTATTTGTCAGCGAATAGCATTCATTATTCAGTATATTTTAGAATTTTTTTTTAACTGACAAAGTAATCTACCCTTATTGAATCTTCATACTTTTAGCAATAAGCAGACCATCCAGTGTGTGATGGCTTGCGGTGATTCTATTGGATTACTAAATCTCACTAGGTGAAATGGAACTGAAATCACGTGGTCTATTGGTTAAGTTTAGAGTATGATTGGTCCACTTCATCTTAGTTGTATGATTTACTTTTGTGTCCTGTTACCTTGGTCATGTTCATACATGCTTTTATTATTATCATTATTATTATTAGCATGATGAAATATGGACTGTTTTTTTTTCAGATAATTTCGCTGTAAATAGAACACTTTCTACTTCATTTTATTATTTAGCTATTTCGCATACACCAATTGGAAATAAACCAAAGGAGTCAACTACCAAACCATTGAGTGATCGTGCTCGAGCTACAAAGGCTAAATTGATTTTACTAAGAGCTAAAATGGAAGCTTTACCAGGCGGTAAACACGCTAGAGATTTACCAGAATCAGAAAGATTTGTTCTCCGGTTATCAATTATGCCTGATATTCTTCCGAATGATACTATAATTTCAGCCTACTTTGGAAAGGTGATTATATATATACATATATATCTGTGTTTATAGTACCAGTTGTATGATGTATTTCATTTTTCATTGTTATATAATGAATTATTGTCTAGAATAGCTGTGATACTTCATCCTAGTTAGGGACTCTTCAACGGCACGCATACATGACCTCATCGGTGGTCGAACTTATGATTGACAGGTTATAAGGCGAGCTCGTCAACCACTCAGCCACTGGTACCGAATCCAATGGTTGGCGCATAGATTAATACCATCTCCAGCCAGTGTCATCAGGGAGTATCCCTCCTTATACCCAACTTGATGGACCTCCTGTTGTCACAGCTTCTTACTAGAACTTAAAACAACTTCATTCTGTTGTCACTCAGCGGTGTGAGTATTAGATTAATTTTCGAGTGTTGTTGGTTTGCAGCGGTTTGTAGTCATTTCGCTATCTAATTTGAAATCAATGAAAACCCTGCAAACCAAAACTTGAAAATTGATCTAATAATCGCTAGTAACTGATTACAGGACAAAGTCCTATGTGATTCTAGTGAAAATCTGTGACCAGTGGTGTTCATCAGATTAGATGTGGGGAGGACTACTCGCCAATGACATTGATTGGTGGTTGCGCTGTATATCGCGAATTGATAGAAGTTACAATTCATGGACCAGCCATTGGATTCTGTCTCATTTGGCGGAATGGTATACGAGCTCTCCCTGTAACCCGAAGATCCTGCTTTTTGATCCCTAACGGTGGTCTGTTTAGACGCCGTCACCCTCTTTACTAATGTAAAAAGAAAAATCATATCCTTAATGTGGTTCCATTCCATCCCGGAATATCAATGTTTTTATTTCCGAATTCAATACCTACAAGAGTTCTCACTTCGATTTACAGTGAATGTCTACTTCTGATTCGAAGATGAAATCCTCATACAAATAAATGATGCGATGACGGTATATTCTGTGGAACGCATCTTAGCCAAATGTTTTTTGGCAGGTCCAGGAAACACTGTCTTATCAGCAGCAAGCAATGAGCTTCATCTATATAAGAGGAATGTTGACGACAATTGCTTCACACCTTCAAAAATACCCTAGAAGTCTATACTATGTAGGTGCAAGAAGTATACTCAACCTTTATCTTTCCCACACTGTGTCCTATTTAGTTTTCCATTGTCATACCGAATGATGACTAAGTCAATTTCCAGGTCTTCTTGTGGAGTTTCGGGTATGTTAATGACAGTTTCTCTGTGCTTTGAAGTTTCAACAGCTATTGATAACAAGCACGGATCACCATCAATTGGGCGAAAATCTAAAGGAAGTCTTCTTCTCCACTTATATCTCCGCGATCGTATCTACAGGCGGCACAGATGAGGATGTCAAAGCCAGTCATGATTAGATCGCGAAAACAAGACAGGCGCGTACATTCCTATTAAATCAGGAAATAACGTCGAATTTTCAACAACAATGTGAATGCATTGCTTCATCACACTTCAGAGATTCGGTGTACGCACCACCAGAAGCAGTTGCCACGGCTTACTGGGGTCTTTCATCATCAACAGATGCCTCCATTCGGTATCGGAGATCAGATGGCTGATCGGAAAGGGAAATAAACAAGTAACTCTAGGAGGCGACAGACTAACCAAGTGCCAATTACCCGACAAATATGCAGAAGGAAATGGACTGAGCATACGCTGACAAGATATTATGGTGACACCATACTCATGTCCTCAAGTGGAAGCTGAGAGTGATAGCAGAGAACTGAATGGAATGTAGATGTTCCTTTGAAGCTGTATGTTCCAATCAAAACGTAAAGAGCTAATAATATTAATAGTAGATAGCTGGTGACTGGATGAAATGACTAGAAACCAACCATAGTCTTATATTTTTATTCTTTTAATAGTTCCTTGTTATGTTACCGTTTGAAAAGATTATAGATTGAAGAAAAGTTTTAGTGAATGGAGTTCGTTATAATTTAGAACAACTGTTTCGTCCTAGTTTGAAACTCCCTAGTAGTATGCATCCGCCGGGATTGGAACCCAGTACCTTCCGGTTGCGAGGCAAACTCGTAGACCATTCAGTCACTTGGAACGAACCCACTGGTCCATGAATTCCAACTTCTGCCAATTCACATTCGAAATGGAGAATGAGTCTAGCATTCATTTCCTCGGCGTGGGCTTATCAAGAAGGACCGATGGAACTCTGAAGAGATCAACTTATAGAAAGCTACAATGGAATGGTTAACTGACACATTTCTGCAGCTGGGTACCCATTGGTCTAAAAAGAAACCTGATCAAATCTCTTGCTGCTAGCATTTGGCGCATATGTAGTCCTGATGCTGTGGAGGAAAAGTTAAGTCTTCTAAGGAAATTCCCAATGGAAAATGGATTTCCGCCATGTTGTATAGACAGGAACATACTGTCAAAACCTCTGAAATGTGACTTAACGCCCGTGACCAAGAAAATGCTGTACATGAGCTTGAAATTCAAACGTGACTTAGCTGTCGACATCATTAAAAGAATTATCTCGCAGTCCGTGACATTCCATGCTGCGTCGTTGAGAATAGCGTTTTCCAGTCGACCATTACTTTTCAATAGCCTGAAGGACAAGATCCTGCAGTTGACCAACTCTATTTGCGTTTATCAATTCACCTGCTTGTGTGGATCTAGGTATATTGGCCGTTTGACTCTAGTTTTGTCTAAGAGGGTTCAAGAACACTATCCTGAATGGTTACGAAGTGGTGGAAGTGAAGCAATAAAAAGCGGGTTCATTGAACATCTGTTCGATAATGATTACCCTATCTCTACAGCCTCTGCCTTTTGAGTCATCTACAAGGCGAAAAGTAATTTGCTCGAATCACTACTTACCCGAATCATCTGTATTGCTGAAGCTTTGGACATCGAATTAGAGAAGCCAGATCTCTATGTGTAGAAATAGGTTCATTCATTTCCTCCAACTTTCATGGTCTTAATCCCTCTATGCTGAGGAATGATAATGCCTATTCCCATATTAGTTCTACTTATTTTTCGTTTTGTTTATTCAATTTGTGTACTCCTCCTTTATTACGTAAATTGTTACTATTACCATTTTCACTTTGAATTTTCCCCGGTATTATTTCACTCGTCCCACTTTTCATTCTAAAACAATTTTGTTTTGCAACGTTAAATAGTATGTTACCGAATTTCACACAATATTACGTAACGTTTTTCTTTTATTTGCCTACTAATCCTGTAATTTTATGTCCCCTCCTAACATCCATACATCCTGTGAATTGTTCTGCATATGACATTAGTAGTTATGCCACTTACCATTTAACTATGATTATAATCACAAACACTTTATAATTGCATTTCATGCTACCATTATTTGATTTATTCATACCCTTGATTCAAATACCTCAACACATGTAATTTCTTAAAAAACATATATATTTTGCGCAAACAGATCTCAGTTAGAGAACTAATAGGCAGGTTACAGGATTTCATCATGAGCTGACATTGGTTAGAGAACCATTGAAAAACCTGGGAGTACTGGACGGTTGTTTCGTCCTAGTTTGGGACTCTTCATCAGTACGCACCCACCGGGTTCGAATCCAGGACCTTCTGGTTACAAGGCGAGCTTGCATACCATTAAGCCACTGGAATCCGATCCAATGGCCCATGAATTATAACTTCTGCCAGTTCACGATATAGCGCAACCGCTAGCCAATGTTTTCGGCGAGCTCACCTTGTAAGCAGAAGTCCTGGATTCGAACCCCGGTGGGTGCGTTTTGCTGAAGAGTCCCAATCTAGGACGAAACAACTGTCCAGTACTCCCACGTCTTCCAATGGTTCTCTAACCAATGTCAGCTCATGGTGAAATCCAATCAACCAAATCCCTACAAACCAATACTTGAATGATGGACAGGTGTTTCGTCGTGGTTTGTGATTCTTCCACAGTACGCAACTGTAATCCTTCCACCAATTGGGTGATCAAATAACTTGATTGCAATTGGAGTTTGTATTTGCTATCGTAGGTATTTTACGACGTTATATGGTGTGTTGCTTTTGTTCATGGTTCTAGGAAAGTTTGATCTACATTCAGTATTATAGAACATGTTCTCATATTAATTTAAATATCATTTCACTTTTATTGTCTACCTACTTTTTCCAGCGTTGGCCACTTGGTTGTGTTTTGGATTATGGTTGTGAACAGTTTCACTTGCCTAGAGATAAAGTAAGCCTTTTTTCATTTTAACATGGTTAATTAACAATAACAAACAGCCCAAATCAGTATTATTACTGTTTTATTATTTATTCCCTTGGATTCTCAGTGGAACATAAGGCTTCTTCAGCACATCTCTATTTCAATTTGTTCCCAGCAGTCTTTTCTTTGTTGGCTCTAGGATTTTTCGTCAGCTTTCATTTCCTCAACACACACACACACACACAATATCCTTCATGTCACCCTCGGATCCAAGCCTAACTCCTCATTTCTCATTCGGATTCCACTACAGGGTCTGTTTGGCGGGTGATTTCACTCGACGGTCTTGCCAGTGTATGTCCGATCCATCTCCAATTCGTTCTTCATATCTGTTTTGCATGGGACTAGCGACCTTACCCACAGAGATTCAATCGAATCCCTACAGAGACTTCAAAACACGGGAAAATTTATAAACACCTAAGTCAGTAGGAATAAGTAAATAAATTACGACTACTACTAAACAAAGAATACGCTTTTCGATAACTTTATCATCAGGTTATGCAGTTATATGTACATTATAGTGAGTGAATAAATTAGTGTTATGAACAACAATAAATGTTGTTTAAATAACATCAAATCAATAATACTAATAATACCAATGGATTACAGTTCGATAGAATCAACATAACAATACACTGAATATCAGAAGAATTAGGAAAGATAATAATATAAATTCATGAATATATAGTCTCTAATGAAGACCAGGGCAGTAGTAGTGACTGGACATGCTTCTTTTGCACACAAAGCATTCGTTGTTTCACACAAATGGCGATAACCTCAGCTGTTTGGAGTATTCAGTGCCTGGATGCTTTTGGTAATGTATTTGGTACCCGGTAGATGATAGAGAAGGATTCTCCCATGAAAGCTCTGTTGCCGCTTTGGACCAGATGGTTTAATGTCAAACTGTTGATAGTTTTAATACACCTTTATTTAACCATTCTGGGCGATATTCCTAAGTGAGCACGAAAAATCAAATTCCTAGAGTAGCGGCCAATGTAACTCGCTCCACAAGCTCAGTTGAATTGGTAGGTACATTTGGAAGTGGCTAGTTTAGGTACTTTATCATTGAGTCGAGAAATCACCACTGGTCGTGTAGAAAATAAAATCAGTTAAAATTATGATTAGTTCGAAGCCACTCATGTCAACCAGTAGTATGCTTACTAACCATATCGAAACGACTTAAGCATCATAAGTGCAATTATAATTGTCTTCTTGATTGCTATATACAGTATCAAGCAGCTCACAGATTTGTAGTCTGGATATTTTTGGTTTCGAATTGGAGATCATAATGAATTTTTATCTTATGAATTATTCCCATCCAGGCATTAATGTAAAAAATAACAAAACGAGTCGTTCAGAGAAAAGAGGCTCTTTATGGCAAATTGATTTCCCATAGCTGCACAATCCCACTTATATGGATTTTTTCCTTGAAAAAGGGTAGTAATACAAGTGATCAGTTGTCATAATGATATTTGTTAATATTGGTCAATGCATAAGAAGAGTCGAATAAGAGTGACAAAGTTACGTAATAGGATAAATAACTTAATGAGTGAATTCTAATCAAGATGCACATCGAAACGTAGGAAAATGTGAAATTGCCTAAGATTTCTAGAAAAATGCAAGAGTTATAGAGACTTAAGTGAGTAAGGTAGAGTGATGCTCAGGTAGGCTTCGTGTCCTTTTGGAAGTGACATGAAAAGATTAGCTGTCTTCGATCATAGGTGTCTGCGTTCTATCTCCCGCGTCAAGTGGTATAATAAAGTGAGCAATATTGAGGTTAGGAGTCGGTAGAGTTCTAGGTAAAGAGGGGAAATCAGTCGACGAGGCTGTGAAATTAAATCGACTGAGATGGTTAGGACATGTGTTATGTAAGCTTAGTCATCGCCTTCCTCGACAATGGGCAATGTTAGTTGATATAGGGCCAGGCTGGAAAGGAGCTAGCGGCGGTCAAACCAAAACATGGCACCAGTCAATGAAATCTACAACAGTTAGTCTAGGTCACGTAGGAAGGTGTAGACTTCCTGACTGGTTGGAGTCTTCGGGACGGTAAAAGCCAATGGTTGGAAACAATTGGTGACACGGCTCAAAATCGTTCTCAATGGTTGGCGCAGATGCATCCACTCCTTGTGACTTATGATTTCCAATGAAACTGTTTTGTCCTTCGTTATTACTATTCCTTTGTCTCACACCTTGATATGATTATGAGCAATAGTTTGTGCTCGAAACGTCATCAGTTAATATAACTGTATAACACTGTGTGATTTATCAAAATAAAATCTTAACCATTATGGAGTTATACTCTACCACAGTGCCCAAGTTTTATATTTATATCCGTCTCACACCTCTGTTTACTGTCTATATTATGCATTTCTTCTACTTTGTTCTCTTGCTTTGTGTGCTACATGGAGTGTGACGACTTGAACTGCCGCACATATGTGCAAAGTTCTATGTCGAAAACAGACAGACAGACATTGAGACTTAAGTAACAAACGAACAAACAGTAAGTTTGTAAAAGTCAACAAGACTGTTACATTGACATTGGTGGAAGTGATTAAATAATTTTCTTTTGTATACCGAGCTTCGCTTTCTATCTGAATGGCTAAAGCTTCACCAATGCAAAGGAGACGAAAGCGTTATTCTTCACTTTATAGACTAGTTTGAGCGAAGCGTTTTTTTTTAGAAGGAATGACAAATGCTGACAAGGTGTTCAGTTATCGTGCTCCTTATAGAGCCAGCCACTACTATCTTTCTGCAGCCATGCCAGATAATGGACTGGAACCCTTTCAGACAGGCAGGATACACATCGAATGACTAATGTATCTGGCTTCACAAGAACAGGTGGACTGATATATGCAAATAGAAGTGGTTAGATGCAAGATCTTATCCTTCAGGCTTCTGTAGATCGATGGACGACTGGAGAACAATAAATGCTTTTAGTGTTGCTGCGAAGATGGAAGGCTCTTCTCAGAGATGCTGAAATTCTCCTCTATAAGAATATCTCAGGTTAAGTCTTCCTTGAAATTCAGGTCTGTTTAAAGTTTCTTTTTTGGAATAAGTAATATTTCGTTCCTCTGAACTTTAGGTGTGATATTCTTGTCGATAAATCTCGGTGTGTGTCCATTTTTGAGGAAGATTTATTTCAGAAGGTCTGATTCGGCTTCTTGGACGTCAGGCTTACAGATAGATCGGATGCAAGTGGCAAGGGGTTTCAGTTTTCATCTCGAAATGTGTAACTTGTAAACGGCAGATTTGATTGCATCAATAAATACTATTTTATATGTTATATTATTGTTGAAAACTTTATTTGTCAGGGCTGTTGGCAAATGTTGAAGTACTAACCTTGGTATAACTAGGGAGATAGGCAAGGTCGGATGTGCGGCTAGAGCGACCCGATCCAGTAAAAGCAACTGTGATTCTGAAATTTCACATTCGAATGTCTATATTTAACTTGGAACTCAAGGAATGAAAAAAATCTCAGTAGAGACCAGAATTGAATACCTAAACAAGTTAAACAGTGAAAAGAAACACTGTACAGCCCTAACGAATATGTTTTCTATGCTTATAGAAAGCTATAATTTTGAGATTGAAAAAACATGGCATTGATAAGATGATTTTCGTTACCCTCAGAGGATTTATTCTTCAGTGGTTCTGGCTCTGTAACTTTTGTACCATGACAAAAAAGTAATTTCTTCTACGAAGTATACTGATCAATATAAAATATCACCAAGGGTTTTTCCTAGTAGTTAACAACGAGTTTGTAAAGTTACATCGATTGAGATGGTTAGGACATGTGTTTCGTATGCCTAGCCGTCGCCTTCCTCGACGGACAATCTTAGCTGACATGGGATCAGGTTGGAAAAGAGAAAGCTAGTGGTGGTCAAACTGAAACTTGCTATCAGTCAATGAAATCTCTAAGAGTTAGTTTAAGCCAGCCACGTAAGGAGGGGTAGAATTCCTGGTTTGGGGTCTTCGGGACAGTAAAACCCAGTGGCTGGAGACAATCTGGGATCTGGTTCAAAATCGTTCTCAATGAGTAGCGCAGATGCATTCACTCTCTTTGTGATCTATCATATCAAATAAAACTCTCTTGTTCTTCCATATTACTAATCTTTTTGCCTCATATTTCAGTTTAATTATCTCTGTCTTTTGAACCTCTCCTTACTCTCTTCTCTTGCTTTGTGTGCTACAAGGAGGGAGTGTGGCAACTCAAACTGGTGTGCATCTGTGCAAGGTTCTACGTTGCATCCAGTCAGTTAGTCATTTGCGCTTACATTTCTTATGCTACGTATTATGTCAAATGTGTCATATATTGGATTAAACTAGATCTTCTCATGAAAACGTTCATCTGAGATTTCATACGTAGTGAAAAAATATATCCTATTCAGTCTTACTAGTTGGTGTATGTGACTGCCAAGAATTTGGACACGATTTACTGGTTTCTTTTCAACAAGCTGAATCATTTAAGATGCATTAATTGACGAGTATGGTTCAAACTGTCGAGTGGAACCGGAATGGAAAATGAGGAGTTAAACGTTTGTTATGATCGGAACTACGGTCTAGTAGACTATAGGCCAATACTAACTTTAATGCGCTGGCTAACCTGCCCTTATCGCACGTCAACGATTGTAACACCGACAGGCCGCGAAGACAGAAGTGAAGACTGGACGTTGGTAAGAGAGCTTTTACCGTCTCACAACAACAGTGAAAAAAGGTTGATGGTGCTTGCGTATATACTTGTCTGGAATGACCTTGAGAAGCACTAATATCATTGACAAATTAAGACGGTGAACAACCAATAGGACTTTGAAGGTCATAAGTAGGGTGACGGAAAACCAGGTCATAAATCAATAAGTGGGATGAGAGAAATACAAACAGACTTATAAATATGATACGTAGAAAATTAGGTCTATGTATAAACGTCCGATGGTGTCATTCAAAAAATCATATTGAAATGGAAGTGAAAGCTTATGTGCAGTGCAATGAAAGTGTGCTACGAATCACTAGGATAATATGATGGTGCCAAATTGGATGAAATCTCCGTATGCTGTTTAAATCATCCGATTCATGTGAAGAGTTTTGAATTATTCCCACTTATCGTTGGTGTAGACTGTAATGCATATAAAACATAACTGAGAGACTAAAATTGCAATGGATGCAGAACTCCGCCGGCGCAGAACAAGCTGGATTCAGAAAAGGCAAATCATGTGCTGATCAAATTACAACTCTATGCATCATCATCACAGAACAAAGCATAGAATGGTAGTCAAACCTCTCTCTACCTCAACTTCATTGACTTCGAAAAAGCTTCGACAGACAGCGTTGCCTGAGGAGTAATTTGGAAACTACTTCACCACTGCGGTGTGTAGTGCCTCAAATCTTTTCAGTCAGCCTTATTCAACAGCTGTCTATATTACAATGCCACATGTCAGGTGATCCAAGACGGGAAACTCAGCGAGGCGTTCGACGTAAGCACAGGAGTAAAACAGGGCTGTCTGTCATCATCCACGATGATATTCTTAATTGTGGTGGACTGGAGTATGCGTCGGACTTTGCACAGGGAGAGATAAAAGAGGAATACGTTGAACCGATAAGAAGACTCTAGAATATATGGATTTCGCCTGTAGATGATTTATGTTTAATATCACACAAACTCGAAGAATTGCAGGCGAAAACTAACAAACTGGCAGAAGAGGCAGTCAGCAAAGGCAGTAATTCAGGTGAATATAGAGAAGATTAAGGCGATCAAGACAACCAACTAACCACTACAAACACCGATTACTGTCAACTGGAGAAATTTGAAAGAGGTTACTTCCTTCACTTATATTAGGAAGCATCGTTTCAACTTCAGATGGAATCGATGAGAATATCAAAACCAGAATCGAGAAAAGGCAAGGTACACCTTCATGAATCTGAAATCAATGTAGAAGTCTGACGCACTCAGCATAAACAATAAGATTCGGATTTTCAACACCAATGTAAAATCAGTTCTTCTCTGTGGATCAGAAACTTGGCGAACGCGTCACAAAGAGGATTTCCTACAGTCTGTTGCAGACTTCAAGCAACAGCTGCCTTCGCTCCATACTGAAGTTCAGATGGTCTGTCGGAAAGAATTGATGACCAGGAACTCTGGTAGCTAACCAACTAAGAACCCATTGCTCAACAAATATGCTGAATAAAATGGAGATGGATCGGACACGCTGAAGGGACGATTGAGTGATATCGCGCACCAGTTCAGTGCTCTACTTGAATCGGAATGAGAAACGGTGCGTTGAACTTTGGTCCGAGGGTGACATGGAGGAAATTGTGTGGGAAGGAGAAAAGAGTTTTTTTGGCAATTGTGAAACCAGCTAGAGAGGACTGCGGAGAACAGAACAAAATGGATATATGCTATTGACTACCTATGTTCCACTTGGAACCCAAGTGAATAACAGTAATATTATACTGAGTATGAAGCTATTCAATGTAATAGATGAGTCTGTTCAATTAGTCAATTTATTCATGAATTGTGGAGATGTGTCTTATTCACTCGTAAATAGCCAGCTTCTAAACAATAGCTACTGGGTTCGAGTCCCATTCTGCCAGATTCAACCTAGGCTACTTAATAGCATCATCATCAGCCCTCTCTGTCTCTCACGCAGAAAATGGTAAATGAAAAGTCTGTTCCAGATAACTGACAACCAATAACTATTTATATAAATTAATTTTCAGAATGCGACGCTAATTAACATTGGAATAGAATTCAAAAAGCGGTTTGTTAAACACTGGTAACCATGGCAAGTGAAGCAGAACAAGCTGCAGGCAAAGGAGACCCCACAACACTCTACCAAACACCTAGGTACCTATCGGGCAAAAGTTTGACACAAATTAAGCCATTGAAGGATGACAATGGAAAGTCACTCACCAAAGAAGTGGAGCAAAGGAAACATTGAAGGCAGTCACGATGCTAAATGCCGGAAAGGCAGCAAGACCAGATGGAATCCCAGCAGAAGCATTGAAAATGGACCCAGAGACAACAGCGGACTTGATGACGCTACTACTGGAGAAGGTGTGGAAAGAAGGCAAAGTACCCGAGGATTGGAAGAAAGGATACTTATTCAAACTTCCAAAGAAAGGAGACCTAAGTCAATGCAAGAACTGGCGCGGAATTATGCTCCTGTCTATCCCAAGCAAAATACTAAGCCGCATCATCCTGGAAAGAATCAAACATGCCCTGGATGAAAAACTTCGACCGGAACAGGTTGGATTCAGGAGAAACAAATCATGCATTGATGAGATCGCCACATTACGGATCACCATTGAACAAAGCTTGGAATGGCAGTCACCTCTCTATCTATCTCAACTTCATCGACTTTGAAAAGGCCTTCGACAGCGTCAATCGAGAGGTGATTTGGAAACTACTTCGCTACTACGGGGTGCCACCGACAATTATACATCTCATCCAACAGCTGTGCGACAATGCTGCATGCCAAGTAATCCACAACGGGAAACTTACGGAATCCTTCGAAGTGAGGACAGGAGTAAGACAAGGCTGCCTACTATCGCCAATGATTTTCCTGATTGCAGTAGACTAGATAATGCGGCAGACAGACAGCGGGCAATAAGGAAATAGGCACAAAATGGACTCACACAAAATACTTGGAGGATCTGGACTTCACCGGTGATATATGTCTGATTTCCCACAAACTGGAAGATATGCAAGCGAAAAGCAACTAAGTTGGCAGAAGAAGCATCAAAGATAGGACTTCAGGTGAACATAGAGAAAACAGAGGTGATGAAGATTCTTGGGCAACAACAACAGACAGCAATCAGCATAAATGGGAGGAACCTGAAAGAAACAACATCTTTTACCTATCTGGGAAGCATCGTTTCAACTACAGGTGGAACTGACGAGGATATCAAAGCAAGGATCGGAAAAGCAAGACAAGCTTTCACTACTCTGAAGTCTGTGTGGAGGTCAACAGCATTCAGCGTCAAAAATAAGATCGGGATTTTCAACTCCAATGTGAAGTCAGTACTACTATACGGATCAGAGACTTGGCGTGTCACAAAGAGTACCTCAAACAAGCTACAGACCTTCATTAACAGATGTCTTCGCTCAATACTCAAGATCAGATGGCCAGAAAAGATAGCGCAATAGAGATCTCTGGGAGCAAACCAACCAGGAACCGATTGTGAAACAAATAGGCAGGAAGAAATGGAGATGGATTGGCTGGCCATACTCTGAGGAAACCATCAAGTGACATCACTAGACAAGCCATTGCTCGAGTGGAACCCGAAAGGGAAGTGGCGAGCTGGTCGTCAGTGCGAGGGTGGGTGACTTGGAGGAGGTCATGTGAAGAGGAGATGAAAACGTGTGGGCAAGCTTGGAGCCAGGTGAAGACTCTAGCAGAGAACCGAACGCAATGGAGACGCACGGTTGAAGCCGTATGTTCCTCTAGGAATTAAAGGAAACAATAATGATAATAAACACTGGTATCTAACTTTTTTTTCGACTGATTTTCTATTCATGCATAAACATTTATTTTTTTGTTTGCTTTTATTTTTAGAAATACGGATTAATTCGTGTACAAGATGAATTAGATCAGAATTATGAAATTGGTCAACTTCAGCATGATGATATCTCGAAATCGCTACTTGATTTAAGTTGTACAATTAAACAGCATATTGAGGAAAATTGTTTTTCAGAGGGTGAATTATTACAGATTGTTTTCATACCTCAAATGTTGTCGTCGCCATCGGAGTAGTAGTAGTAGTAGTCATCACCGCCTGCACCTAACATCCTCATCTTCATCAGGATGTTCTTGTCCTACTTCGCCTTCAACGCATACACACACATAGACGTACACTTAAGTGCTTTGTTAAAGACCTCACCGTTTCTTTCTTCCTCTCTTTCTGTCTCTTCTGTGTCTTTGGTTAACACCAGTATAAGGCGTCTTACTAGGGTATTCATATACATTAGAATAGATGTTTTCAAAATCTAGTTCGTTTATCATCCAATATGTTTTGGTTGACTTAGCACAACAATGCCTTAAGCTGTCAGGCATTCATCGTTTCTCTTATCATTTCGTCTCTCCTCTCTGTAGTTTCTTATTGTTCATTATATACTCACCTATATGTGTCATTATTTCTTCTTAGTCTCTACTGAAGAAAAGAAAAAAAATCTCTTGGTTTAAAGTTTTACGGAATGACAATGATTTGCTTGCAACGACTTTTGTGTTTATTATTCAACCTGTTCACCTCAAAGTTCTGTTGTTTTCTTTTTCTCATGTTGGTTTCACTTAATTTTCCTATTTTCCAACTACTTCAGCTTGTTAGAAGACTGGATAGTAATCACTAGCTGACATACATGCAAACACTCCAACACACGCACACACTCCCAACAAGTGTGGTTTGTAGCCTGCTAGTCACATGCATAAGTAGTGATGATATACTGATTGACTGGTTAGTTGGCGAACGTTTCGATATCACTTTAGATATCATTGTAAATATTTACACGTTATTAATTATATATATATATATTCTAAGCTTTACTTGTTTCGTAATATATGCTGAAATAAAGGCTGTTTTTTTAAGTGAGTTCCTCATTTTCTTTTGAATTACACGTGTGTACATCCACTACTCTTCTATGAAGTGGATTGTCACTAATTACGTGTTCAACCTTTTATCATTTTACGGTGTATGTACGTGTTAAGAACTAAGATTTCGATGATGATGATGATGACAATGATAATATGGAATTCAAAAGGTTGTTATGCAATGGTTTTTCACTCATATAAGAGTAAAATTTGAGTGAGCTGTTTTCATAGAGTATCTATGTCCATAAAAAAACACAATTGAATTCGAAAGTTCTGTCATTCTGTATCTACTTTCTTCTTATTTCATTCCTTTACGTTCCCAGTGTAACATAGAGCTTTAAGCTAGAGACCTTAAGTTTTGGTAGTAACAGTGATGCTTATTTTTACGGGATGGGGTTGCTAGCCTCATGCCCAACCAACCTTCCGTCTTTCCAGTCTTATTACTACTGGCTTAGCGACGTAAAGAAGGAGTGCGTCACCCGGGGATCGAACCTCGGACTACATGCGTGGTTGGCGAGCGTTCTACCGCTGTGCCACCGACACACATCATTCTGTGTGCTTTATCAAATACTGAAAACAGCAAACTCAAACGGAATCATTTCCGTAAAGTTGCTAGTAAGAACATAAATGCAGACTCATTTGATAATTCTCATTGTAGAGCAAATACGTACTTCCCGGAAATTCTTTCACATCAGGCTTTACAATAACTGAATAAAAACATCAGTCGGACACAATTGAAATAATAAGGGTCAATTATAATCAGAGTTCAGAGATGTGAGTTATTGGATAACAAATAAAATTAATATTTCACCGGAAGAGATAACTATTCTAGGTCGGGGTTGAAGGTCATTGCAAGGAGAGGGATAGAACAAACTTTTACTGAACACAGAGATTGGTTAAAAGATTTCTATGACAACTGGCTCAGTTGTGCTTCGTATCCACAAAGTATGCCAGTAAGGAACTCCTGATTAACTTCAAGATCAAAAATTATGTTTTCATAGTTATGATTTCTCGTTGATATTTCTAAACCAAAGTCATCAACGTAATTTCCGTATGTTGGGGGAATAACTGGAACCGAAGCACAGAGGTAGAATGGTCGCCAACCATGCAGGTGGTTTGGGGTTTGATCCCCAGCCACCGACGCACTCCATCTTTACCTCTTTAAGCCAGTAATAAGACTGGTAGAGAGGGAAGGTTGGGCGTAAGGTTAGCAACACGATCCCGTAAAAATGAACACCGCTGCTACTGACACTTCGAGCCTCTAGCTTGAAGTCCGCTATGTCCCACTGGGAATGTAAAGGAATAAAAAATCACAAAAAACATCAATCAATCAGTGAGTACATAGAAGCATTTTAATGACTATACGTTCTAAGATTGCGGAGATATTTCAAGATAGTTTTTGAAATAATCTGCTGACAAAATTGTGAAACGATAAAGAAAAAAGCAAAACAAAGTGGTGTAGTTTGACAACACTGTCACATGAAGAGATACCTAAACATGTAAATATGTGGTGTTATTTTGTTTACATGTGTCTTTTCTCATAGTTTGGTTTCAGCTCATGTGATTGCTACATTGATTTCAATGTTGTTGTTTGTTCTGTTTACTTGAACTCATTGAGATGGACAGATTATGTGTTCTTCCTTTTGGCTTATTAAATCTATTGGGGACAATAAACCCCCTTAGTTTCGGAAGCATTTCAGCGATTTCAACCTTTATTGATCTTTTATACTGTGTCAATTTTGTATAAATATATGTGACAAGTGTGTGCTTGGTCAGAGAATTTGAAGATGTGTTGTGCCAGGAGATTGTGCTTGTTCTTTGAAGTTTTTGTGGCAGTTCGATTGATTTCCATGGGTAGACTCACTAGCCCAACATCCAATTCTTCTTCTTTTTTCGGACTTGAGACCAGCGAGAAAACTAGCGAACACATAAACTATATCGGGTTAGGAAATTGTACTGTGGCGAGTGCTACTGATAAGATTTATTAGTAGTATATAAAGAGACGATCATCGGCCGGCATAAAAACATCAAATAGCAGGAAGACACATTCGATTTCAGAAAATGCAAATCATACAGCTTTGTGGAGATACATAGGAGAAGCAAAAAAGAAACCAAAGAAACACAACATAAAGTCCAAAAGTACCATAACACGGAGATCTGTGTAAATGGTGCGTTGAAGATAAGGTATACAAAATTTGGCTATATACAGATACCGATTTCGTGACAAGCATTCCCTTGTCAAGTCTTCGTGTTCGTCCGTTTCAGTAACTGTCTCATTATTGAAGGCTTATTTATTGTCTTGTCAAAATTCATGCTTGGGACCAAAAACTGTCACTGTAGAGGAATGTTTGTTTGAAGGAGAAATCTAACTTACCCTCAGCTGTCCAAAACTTTGATTATACCTTTAATTATACCTAATTAATTAATTAATTATACCTATTATACTTTAATTATACCTAAAAGATCGACAGTCACTATTATTAATTCTTCCTGCTTCTCTAAATTAGTTAATCAGTCAGAATTCATTTACCCGGAACAGAGATCACACACTGTGTGATGGATATTTATACTAACCAGTCACGCAGGCTGAAGTTGTTGGGACACAGGATTCGGACTCTGAATCCATTGGCTGATAGTCTAATGGCGAGCCACCTAGCATGGTGGCCACATTGCAAACATGACTGATAGAATTCAGTCTGCACCGAAGATAGGACTAGACACATTACACTAGTTACTGACTAGTGTGCAATCAAAAATATCCAATACAGTCCTACAGGAGGTCAGTTGCGAGCCTGAATAGCTCAGTGGTAACGTCTCTGACTGCAGGCGGCACTGGGTGACGCGGGTTTGAATCTCACAAGGGACATCAGTTCCTTCAAGGTTGCAGATACGCCTTGATGATGAGTGCCAACTAGCACGAAACCTGGGTCCAAGGCTTCCTGCTGATTGCCTCCTACCATCTAATACCACTGATAGTCTACTACTGTTTGACTTAGTGAGCTATCTTTTCATTCTGTGGAATGGAGAATGTCGACCCCCCCCCTCCCGCTGTACAATTTATTTTCTGTCTGTGTGTATCATCCATCCTACACACCTGTTAAATTCTACACAAGAGGAAGGGAAATGCCCCCTAGTATGCTTCGAAACACTCTAAATACCAGATAATCTATAAAGTAAACTTTGTATTTAACTGCCTGAATTGTGTATTTCAACAAAATAAGTTTATTTAGTCAATAAATTTACAAAAAAAACAACTATTGACTCGTCTGAAATATTTATACATCTCTCTGTTCACTGCTAGTTTATGTCAACAAACATTAGATTTTTTTCTCAATTGTATCAAGATTTTTCATTGAACTACAACATTCCAACCAGCTATAATAATTCATCGCATCCACCCACATATTAGTTCATTTTCGGGTTGTTTTTATTCGATTTTAATTTTTGGGGGGGGGCCTTACAGAGGTTTTCCAAGTTTTTGAAATTTAAATCAAAGTTGGATACTGTAGTTGTTTTTTTTTTTCATGCCAAATTAGAATAATGTATTTAACGAAAACAAAACACGTAGTTCAGCGAAGAGTCACTTTTCGGCGAATTCATTTTCTTAGCTGTACAGTCGTATATATATATATATATATGTAAATCAAAATAAAATAAAAAAATATATATATTATTTTGTATGTATGTGTACATTAAGTTTGTCAAACAAAAATGCAATTGGTTACGGTTATTTTATCTAAACAGGTGGAAATTAGTAAGTCTTGTGTGGAGTTACGTATTACAAAAACGGTCAAAAAACTTGGGTGTTAAGGTAACCAGTATAGTAAGTAACAAAGGTGATGTGTTGTCACTTACAGTTGTTAAAAAGGAGTTGAGTAATAATATGAATGTGTGCATGTATTTTCTGTGTATTTGTATAGTTTTCGTCAAGATATGGCTGACGGACTTAAGCACTTGACTTAGAGTTTGAGGACGCGAGTTCGAATCCTGCCTCTCCTACTTCACACCTGTTTGACTCGAAAGTATCACCAGCCATCACAAGTTATGTGGTGAGAGCTGTCGGCAAGCCAAAATTGTAGATAACAATTTACGTCAATGTGTACGTCCCGAATCGGGGTCATGAGAAAAAACGATAACAAAGCTTAACCTTGAGGATCTCACCAACCAAT